CATTTTCTATTACAAAATGAAAGTCTCCCGATTATGAGAAAAATTAGATATTCAAAATTCTTCTTCATCGTTCGAGAATGTAAAGAAAAACGTACACAACCTTGAAATTTTCTCTATATTTTGATCTTCAGAGGATCTATTATCTACTGTTCTCTTGACACAAAATCACCTCTTTGTAGAAAGCTCTCTAGTAAGATTTAAAAGGGTAGTTCAACGTTTTCTCTCAGAATGCGAACAATTTTTACAAATTCTTCGAAGACAAGGATAATTTGTTCGATGAAAGAATTAAAGATATTAGATGTTTAACATTTTTCACTAACGCTTTAGCTCGTTTAGTGACGTCATAGAGTCTTTGACGTAAATGCTTCGCCGTTGGTGATCGAAGAGAAGCTGACAACACTTCGGCCTCTTGAGACAAGTTCGATTTTTTAAACGTTCTTCCCCGCGTTCTTCCTCGAGTGAGCCAAATATAGATCATTAAATTCGATAATACGATGATCTTGTTCCGATAATCGCTCTTCCTTATCCGGAAACCTTCACCCGGCACGAAAAAAAGAAGGAAATGTTTGAAAGCATGCAGAAGAAACACAAAATGAAAATTGCTATCGTTGGTATATTAAAGTAGAAAGAAATATGAGTTTCTTAAAAGTCGAACTGATCAATAATGATAAATTTAAAATTACAAAAATTTTGTACTTTTTAATTAATATGACTCATAGTGTCTCAGATATCGGAAGAAGCTTGAGAATTTGAGATAATATGTACTTGTCACATTTCAATTTGTGGATACTTTAGGAGCATGTTCCTTCTGTGCAGGGGTTAAAAACTTTCAAGAGAAGGAAACCTCTGAAAAATTTGTCATATTCACAAAGTACTTAAGAATGATTACACTTCTAAAAACTATTCAAACCTCCAGGAATAATTCATATCGAATAACAGATTACATTTCTCCTACGCAAGAGTTGAGAACGAATATAGATATAGAGAAAATTTAAAAATCTACAGTATATTCCATTGTACCTCTCAATCACGCCAAATTACCAACCAAAGAGAAATTGTATCTGCACTTTTGCGACGTTACACACATCCTACAGCCAATTATCCAAGTTCTCTCTCCGCGTATCCTCAGAGTATCGCGTAAGATTTCCAATTCACGGTCTCGTCGACACTGTCGTTGGAAGCGGTGAAACAAATTGTTACACGGATGAAACGGTGTCGAAGACACTGGAAAAAAAAGATGAATTCCGTGTTCGAGAGTGGCGGCGATAGTCGGCCGGGACACTTTTCCCTGTTGGAAATACCGCAGACATGATCCTCGTGTCGGAGGAGCTCGTGGTAACGAACCATCGAGAGCAGCTTCTTTTTAGCCTCGACAATCAGGTCATTGGGCCTGCAACGCCCAACTGGGAATAGCAGAATGCCGCGAACCACTCGAACCGCTCCTTCAGCAATCCATTTCTCGGCTCTTTCCTTTCTTAACGGCAGTCAGCTGCAGTATCGACGTCAGTACCACGAAAAATGACGTCATCAGACGCATCGAAATATATATCCGATTTTGGCATGTGTCACGCTTGTCATGCTCGCTGCCGCGAACCGGAGGATACCGATAAATATCGGTTTTATTCTAACCGAAATAAGGGAATCCTTCGGGATACACGAGGAGGAGGTATCGCTCCTCGTGTATCCCTCGTGTATCGCTGGGAATGCTTGTATATCTCGCTATTCACTTATGCTTATCCGTATTTTTTAATACAAGCCACGAATAAATTATACATTTATGAGAAATTTGACGAGAAAAGGTATTTCATGGTCTCTTACGAATCGTCGATGAACCACACAAAATATACCGATTATCTCCATAAGATGAAAAGTAGAAAAAGGTAACGATGTTTGAGATTTCAAGAGGAGTTAATAAATTTATTGAACCCCACTAGTCCAATATGTTTCAAGTAATATAATAGAAATGACTTGAACAAATTCTCCGATAATTATACCGATTTCAAGAATAAAATCCCTCCTAAGGAAGGAATAAATTAAATTCTCAATTTCTCTCTCGATGATTTTCTTTCTCGAAGGAATTCACCTCGCAGCAATGTCTGCGCCAATGTGTTGCCATATCGCATCCAGTACTCGACAATTAGAAAGGCATTGTGGAAAACGCGCTTTTCAAAGAGACTGGTCGATACCACGACTTAGAATCAGCGAAGGGAAAAGGAATTCGTTCTTATCATTCCCAAGGTAATACTACGAGGTCAAGGTAAAAGTAAATTCGCTCTGACCAAGTATTATTTAATTTAATTACACGATGATGCTAATTTTCCCACTTTTTTATGTTTCATACTCTATTTTCGGTGCAACACGTCTTTGAAGCACCTAAATTTGGGTATCCGCGATTTATTTGCAATTTTTTTTAAGAAATAAAATTAAATGATGAGATCTATGACATTTGTAAAGAAATTGATCGCCTTACGATAAAAATTCAACGAGCCCTCAACGGGTTGAACGTACGTATAAGTATAAATCTACGAAATTCGGTCACGGAAATTTTTGTGAACGAATTACGATTGGTTGTGACACGAGTTACGATTCTACGTAGAATATCAAGATGCTGGAAGAAGATAATATTAATTGTGCCGGTACTAATGAGACCGGCCACGGCTTCATCTCCCTTCATCGTGTCATATGGTAGAAGTATCATTTCAAGATAGAACGCTGATCCATGATTCTCCACTGTTAATGATATTTATCACTATCATCAATTTAACGAGAATAATTGTTATTAAGAAATAAGAACCTGAAACCTCCGATATCTAAAGGACATTATACGATTTACACCACATGATCTAAGTCTCCAACAACTGGGCCAACAATCTGACACCGTCGCTAATTACTACTTGCAGGAGACGCGACGTAAAACGTTCAATGTTAAGAAAAGAAAGGAGAACGAATGTTTTTAATTTCAATAGATCAAATAAGTATTTCAAATGAAAAAGACGTTCAAATTTGTGTGATAAAACCGATTTAACGAGGCTTGTATTTAAAGTTAGCAAGTGTCCAGTGGCTTGTAAGACTGTATACGTAGTTTCGGGGAGGAAGAGAGCGAACGTGTGTACGTGTGTGCGCGCGAGAAAGAATGCTCATGCGTGTATATATACCTTCTCGAAGAGCGGCCACTTCACGATGCACGAGCGACGCGAACACGTAGCATTCTATTCGCGGCACAATTTTCGAGGATCGATATATCGAGCGGCGTGTCCCGTCGGTCGACGACGACGTCTTCAAATAGCACGGTAGTTAACGTCTCTGAGAGTGACTCTCAAGAAGGGTGGCGAGAGCGAGAGGAGAGATTGCAGGATCCTTTCCTTTCCTTTCCTTTCCATCGTGATTCTTCTGCTGTCTCCTCCTTGTCCTCCTCCTCCTCCTCCTCCTCGTCGTCGTCGTCGTCGGTGACGTTCTTCCTCTCCACTGTTCTCTTCTTTCCTCTTCCCGTGTTTTCACCTTTCAATTTTTCATTGGGTTCGTTTTCTCAATCCGTTCGGTCTTCGATTTTCGATGATCGCGTGGCACTTGGTTTCGAGAGTTTGAAGCAGTCATAATGAGAGACCGTCTTTGCCTCGCATTTTTCAAATTATGAATGCATGTATGCGGTAAACAAAATTCATTGCCTTGGCCGTGGTTAAGGAAGTTTTCAATTATCTTCTTCTTTGGAGGAAAATGTGTGTTGTACTTGATTCTTTTCCTTTTTTAATCTTTTGATCTTTGAAAGAATCTGACTGTATTTCATAATCTAAGGAATGACCGTTGATGATTAGAAATAGAAAAAGTTTGATGCGTTGTGATTTTAATACATTGAAAAGAAAGTATATCAAATAAATGTATTACTTCGTATATTTATGTCAATTAAAAGTGATTCATCGTCACGTTAAATATTTCTTTATTTTTTCTTCTTTTGCTTTTAGAGATCTTGTTAAAAGAACGTAGGAACTGAGATGGTTGTTGCTTGTTCGAGTCTTTAAGTTGCAACTACATCAAAGAAAGTGGCGCTTTGATATTCTGCTCTTCACCACTCGTTACGCGCATCTCCGTAGAGGATTCTAACGAATAGACCACGTTTTTTATCGTGAAGCAACGAATTCTGCCAATGAATCTCCAGCAATAAAAACAATTTACTTGTCTTCACTACACGTTTCTACCGTGTTTTTAGATGGCTCTTATGAGTAAAAAACAGAATAGAAAATTGAGCACAAAAAATTAATTCGTGCCATTTTATCAACAAGTCTGTGTAAGAAACTTAAGGTAGTAGACTCGATTCTCCATATACGTATAATTAAAACATATGTACAATTAAATCATTCTTTCCCTTCCCAGTTTCGCAAGATCACCAAGATAATCCAAATACTCTTTTTTAATAGACAAATCTAACATGAAGGAATTGGCGAGACGATGAAAACTCCAGATGAATCAAACATCGTTATAACTCGTTGATGCCAAAGGAAACGCGTACGGATTCCTTTCGCGTGGTCCCCCTCCCCCTCCCCCTCCCGCCCCATTCGTTATTCTTCGCCCGTACTTACAGTCATCGTGACAATTAGCATGCGGTGGTGTGGTTGGAGTGTGTTAGGAATCGCGCGCGATTACAGCATCCATCTGAAGCGGAGGATGCCACGAACATGCCGCATTGGGGTAAATTCGTGTCGTTGGAACCATCTCGTCACGCTTTACGGACCCACCGGGGATTACCACCACTTCTTTCGACATCGCCGATCCTCGCTTTCTGTCTCTCTCTCTCTCTTTCTCTCTCTCTTTCTCAACCCTTTCTCCGAACCCCCTGTCTTCGTTTTTCTCTATACGTCACCAAGCACGCGAGAGAGAGTTACCCCTTCTTTCTCCCCTCTACCCCCCCGGTTTCTTCATCCCTCTGTATCGAGTTAAGAGAGAAGAAGAAGCGGCGGGGGTGGCGAACGAGGTGGTATATCGGTGTGTGGCTTCGGCGGTGGTGCTTGCTGGTCCACCACCTCCGTCGCTACCACCACCGCCGCTACCAACGAGCATCCACCTCCACCTCTGCCTCTCTACGAAGCGACGATGAGGATTCTGCAGCTTCGGCAAAGTCGTTTGAAGAAGTCAGTCGACAGTTGCACGTCCTCGCGACTCGGAGAATAACGATCAGGGGGAAGAGAGAAAAGAAAGAAAGGAAGAAACTGAAAAAAAGAGAGAGAAAGAGGCAAAGAGGCGGCCGCTCGCTGTCGCCAGCTGAGAGAGAGCCTATCTCCTGATCAACGGCTGCGGCGAACAACACTCTTTAGTCTTTTCTTTTTTCGTTTCGTCTTCCCCTTCGTTGTCGTTCGTCTTTCGTCTTACGTCCACGTTCAGCACGCTTCGCCGCTGCCTCTTCGCTCGACTCGTCGTTGACTCGTTCTACTGCGAGGAAGATGCGCTGAGAAGCGATCGACGAAGAATGTCGATGGACGAGACGCATGGAGGCGGCATGATTTCCGCAATCCTTTCCTCGGTCGTGCTTCTCCTCCTGCTCGGACGCACCGCGGACGCTCAGTAAGATTCTTCTCACAGAGGCTGATTCCGCCTCTTCCTCTTCCGTTTTCCCGACCGACATCGCGTCGGCCATCTTAACGCCAATCTCCTCCGCAAGGACAGATCCTCCTCTTGGATCTCTCTACTTGCAACGAGATTCTCGGGAATATTGGTATTTTACCGACACGTACACGACTGGTCGAAAAGGTTTAACTGTGGGATTTTTTTTAGTTTTATTTTTCGTATTTCGTGTGAAGATAAATTTGGATGGTAAGGGGAAAGTTTCCTACGGATGTGGGATTCTCTGGTGTAGAAGTATCGCTATAACTCGAGTCTTTCTTCCTATATTTGTAGTTTGTAATTTCTCTCTGTTTTCTAGAATTTATCGGTTTTGCCGAAATGAAAGTTTTCTGTTCTTTTATCGAGTATGATTTTTAATATTATTAAACTAATAATTGTTTCTCTTAATAAATGACACAAAATGAGACACAACTATACGGGTACGCAGAATTTTTGTACTTTTTCCTGATTGATCAGTTTTTTTTAAATTGTTAGGAATTTTTTTATAATTACATCAATTTCAATTCTAGAAGATTAATAATCAATTTTTATGGTAGAGTAAGAAGGAGAATTAATATCGTACACACAGTAAATCTAATGTCAAAGCATATATACTTTCTCCAAAAATCAAAATCTATCACGTCTGTTCGATATCTTGAATTTTGAAAATCGAAAGTGAAGTACTATACGATAAAATCGTCATCGTCAAGAGCTTGGGTTATTTTCGAAGAAACACGGAAATGTTAAAACAAAATTGCAGTGAAAAGTGCAGTGTCCAACGTGTGATAAAATAAATTTGTGCCAAAATAATCGTTTGATAATCCAGACAGTTGCGTAGATACGTATATATTGTATAGTATTTTAAAATGTACTTAATATGTTAAAAAAAAAAGAACCAAAGAAACAATCAACGATGTGTAATAAACGTACGCGACAGAGTGGTAAAAAGCAATATCGAGCTTTTGTGCATTTCAGTTGTCATTTTCCACTTCGTATGTTTCGCGTATAGTGAAATCTCGTTCTTCTCTCGCGACGCGGAAAAGCAAAACGTCAGTGAAACGTATTTTCGAATGTGAATTCGAGAAAAAATTAACTACTTGCGTGTTTTAATCGTTCGAGCTTTTTCGTTTCGTAAACTTTCGGCGAATGTAACGATAATTTCGATTTGTTTCGATTATAATGTTTGAACAAAGTTTATGTGACTCGATTAAAGTGTCTCAAGTTTTTCGTTGAAATTGCAACTCGATATTTCAGGAGGAGCTTGGAGTTCTTCGATCTTCTGCCGGAAGATCCTAAGCTGTACGATAAAATGCGACCACCAAAGAAGGACGGGCAGGCGACCGTTGTTTATTTCCATGTCACTGTTATGGGCCTTGATTCCATAGACGAGACTTCGATGGTACATTGTTATAACTAAAAAATTTTCTTAAATTCAATTTAATTTAATTTCAACGAATATAATTTATTTTTATACTCGGCCTCAATTAGATTGCTTTCCTTAATTTCTTTCTTAGATTTTAGAAGAAATTTCTCAAACCTTTTTGTGTGTTGATTTTTGCATTGTTATAAATAATTTCGAAAAGTTTACTCTGAGATATATAAATGTGATAACCTAATTCAGAAAGGTAGCTTGTTAGTTTTATCAAATATCTAGATTTTAATTAATAATTGATACTAAAATGTTACTTTTCCAGACATACGCAGCTGATATATTCTTCGCTCAAACTTGGAAAGATAACAGGCTACGATTACCAGAAAATATGACGTCTGAATACAGGTATGTATCATAATTTCATTTAAAAAAAACATTCCATTCGTCATAAAATTTGTTAAATATATCTTCTCGTATTTTATGTTTTTCAAATGACTTTTTTTTATTAATTTAACAAGTATATACAACAAGTTATCATTTGTATATATCAATTCAAGATTACTGGAAGTCGACTGGTTAAAAAATATGTGGCGACCGGATTCGTTCTTCAAGAACGCCAAATCAGTGACTTTTCAGACGATGACCATACCGAATCATTACTTATGGTTGTACAAAGACAAGACTATTTTATACATGGTCAAGTAAGGAATAAGCTTCAAGATTCTCAACCCTTCTTTCGATCACTTCTCTTCCTTTTATAACAAGTAGCAATAGTAGTAGCAGTTTATTTTGATTTTTTAGTAAATAAAATTTTCATTCCTGTTCTTTCTCTAATAATATCTCCGCTCTCTTTCTCAATTTAACTTTCGTAGAAAATAAAATCTCTTCATACAATGTTTCAGATTAACGTTAAAGTTATCTTGTGCTATGAACTTCCTGATCTATCCCCACGATACGCAGGAGTGTAAACTACAAATGGAAAGTTGTGAGTGACGTTCTTCTAGTAAACCGCCTTTTAAATTGCTCCACTTTATATTTTTTAGCAAAGTAGAATTTTAGGTGTAACTTCCTCATGTATCTCTTATCATAATCATACATTTCACTTTATCCTCAACACAACGATTCATTTTCCACATCTGTGTTTCAATTTTTCCATTCAAGTTCATTGCTATTCCTTTCGTGCACTATTTTTAGAATTTTTTTGCTATTTCTCTCTATTGTTATCATTGGACTGCGTGTTTTTGTGCTTTTACGAACACAACTAAAGAGATAGAATCTAACTAGAAATTTTGTTTTATCTGTTAGATTATTTTCTCAAATGAAGTTTTAACAACTCTAACACAGTTTCTTCGCAATATTCAAACAATCGACTATTTCTTATTACTCTAGATTTAAACTTGTAGATTTATAAGATATCCTCGTTATAAATTTTTTTTTTTATACACGGCTCGTGATCAGTTTCCCAATGTAATTGTTGACTGACAGTAATATAAAAATTTAATAGTTAATATCGGACGACCAGATGAAAATCCGCGTAGTTCGATTATCGCGTAGTCACGTTTTATCTCCACTCTACGATGTAATAAATTTTCATCTCTGTTCCAATTTTCCATTTCACGATTCCCTTGAAAACACACAATCACGTGTTCAAAGTGTCAATGAGTCGTTCCATTGAAAACTCGGTGCCGCTGGGTATAGTGAGAAAGAGAAACAATTCTCGAGAGACGTGCAATATTAGCGGCAGAGTCGTGTTGAATCGCGCTGAACAAACCGGAAAGGTGACCGAACAATCGTGTTTCATTTGGAAACGGCATCGTAGACCCGCATGAATAATCCTTTAATTTTCGCGGAGCGAATGCCGCGCGATTTCACAAGGACAAAACAACTCGGTCAACAGTGTCGCACACGACGGATGAAATGATCTTCCAGTGGGATCCTGACGTGCCACTCGTCGTCGACGAGAACATCGAGCTGCCGCAACTGCAACTGGTTAAGAATTACACGGCCGATTGCACGCAGGTCTATTCTACTGGTAAGTGAAGACGCTCTTTTTGTTTCTTTCTAATTAACTGTTTCAAACATGCCTCGGAATCGTGCAGCTACGTCAACCAAGAATCGACATTGATTGAAAGTGAATTTTGGTTGAATTTGTATGAAATGCACGTTGGTGTTGTTTGTAACCTCGATCACTATTGACGTCTCACCCGTTTTTGCGATTTTAACGTTTCGATCGTAGTGATGAAAATCTGAGAAATAATTTTTTAGAGAAGTTTGCGTTTATTTTTAGAGATTTTTTCGTAAGTTTGTGTTCTTCGTTGTATTGTAAACTTCTTCCTATTACTCTAATTTTACTTTTCAAATTTTATACTTTGACTAGTGTGTAAGTGAACTCTAACAATTTCTTCTGGTTATTTCTGACTCGTTCGTATTTTCCTAAAGTTAAAATGTATCTTGAGCTCAAACGAACGATGAAGAATTCTAAATAAATTCATAAAACCTTCGTAAAACTGAGTGCATGATTGGAATATAAAAATTTGAGGATTGCAGTGAAGTTGAAAACAATTCAGTGTCAAGTGTAGATTAAAGAATAAGAGAAGAATTAATTAGGGGTGAAAGAATTTCGAAGAGTACGAAGTTAATGGAAATCTCTCGATGTTTAGGTAACTTCACTTGCCTCGAGGTAATATTCGTATTGAAACGTAGACTTGGATACTATTTGTTTCATACTTACGTTCCTACCTGTCTGATTGTCATCATGTCGGTAAGTCTGAGAATAATTTTCTAACAATGATCTTTTATGAAAACAAACGGAGTATCCCATAACGAATTAATCTTATTCTAAAACCTTAAAATTCGTACCTAGTAGCACATTCTACTACAACTTTCTACAACATTTAGACACAATTTATTTTCTATAAACATCGTTTCTGAATTATTTACTTATATCTTGCGTAGTGGGTGTCCTTTTGGATAAAACCGGAAGCAGCGCCAGCCAGAGTAACGCTGGGTGTGACTTCCTTGCTCACCCTTTCGACGCAACACGCGAAGAGTCAAGCGTCTCTGCCTCCTGTCTCGTATCTGAAGGCAGTGGACGCGTTTATGTCTGTTTGCACTATCTTCGTGTTCATGGCGCTGATGGAGTATTGCCTGGTGAACATCGTCCTCGGCGATTCGGACGCGCCTCCGAAACCGGCGCCTCCACCTCCGCCACCATCTTCCAGCTGCAGCGATGCCGCCAAGCTTGACAAAATCTTCGACATCGCTACTAAGGTAAAGCCTGGATGAACATCCGAATGCTTCAGACCTCAGCTTCTGTGCCTCGGGGAAAGGGAATGAAAATCAATCTCAATGCGACAATTAATCGAGATTTTTGAAAGCCAAACCCCGCCCTTTATTAGTAGACTGCTTGTTCAATTTATGAAGATGATTACACAGATGGAAAAATTATTTCAGTGATTAAATATTATATTCCATTCTTTGCACATAAACTGTAAATTGTTCAAATTATTTATTTCATTGGTATCTTTTTATTTGTTTTCACCAATATTTCTGTAAACTCACACTTTTGTCTATAACAGAATTTGTATGTCCCCTCATTCTTCAAATGTTCTAACGAGTATTGTACATTTGGACATTTTATGTCATTTTACAATTACGTGTGTCGAATTTCCTATAAATTTGCAAAAGTTCGCGATTCAATTGAATGAACAGACCCGAAACAGTGGAAGAGAAATAGAGTCTCCCGATAAGAAAGTTCGAAAATCGTTCGCCATTCATTGTCGACCACGCGTTCATCTCTCCGCGGCTCCGAGGCACAGAAGCGTTGTCTGCGCAGCGGGCGGTTCAAGTTGTGATCGTTGTCACGCAGGAGAACGCAATATTGTTATCCGGCCGATCGCAGAAGTCGACGACAACTGGACCACCACCAGGACCTACACCTGCCCAAAAGGCACGTATGCGTGCCCTCAACATCGACCGAGTCTCGCGTGTCTTCTTCCCTTTCCTATTCGCCGTGCTAAACGTAACTTATTGGATAATGTTCGCTGAGTATATTTAAGCTACGAACACAACGGAAACCGAAACGTTGATTCTGCGAACAAAGACACCGGACAAGAATGAAGAAAAAAAACGACACCGAAAGAAGACGTGAAAATGAATTCGGATCATAGTTGTGTCGTCCAAGGATACCATCGAATGGAACGTTTTGATCGTGAGAACCAGAGGTCGAAAGTGAATCCTCGTTTTCCTTCAGGTTGTTCTAATTAATAGAAAAGTGATAGAGATCAAGATATGAAGTTGTGTAGGGTAGATGGAGAATCTTGGCGCGGCACGAAGAAGAAAGTAACGTTCAATGGTGTACAGTGTAAAAAGCAATGAATGAAGAGGCTTCTCTTTTCTAAGAAAGAAAGGAAAAGAAAAGTTGCCCGAGTATTCTGTGGATCCTAAAGATCCAGAAGGTATTGACACAGCCTTGTCATTGAACATTAACCCATTAAGAACCAGGCAACAATTTCATGAAATTTCATAAAATTATAGAATTGGAAGGTATAACGACGAAATAATATTGAAATAATATCAAAAAATATAATTATTATATATTAAGAATTATAGTTATAACTTATTATAATAATTTTTTAGAATTTCGTTTTATAGTCCCAATATTAAAGAAAATGGTACTAATTTGATGGTACAAATCGATCGAAGAGAATTGCAAGTGAGATGTTGCCACACGCGAATGGCTCTTAACGTGTTAATAATTTTATTGGACTCGTGTTTGAATGGAAGTGAAATATAATAGATTCAACCCTTTATGAGTGGAACTTTACTTTCCTCTTCGTTGCATCATTATTCTCAAGCCACTCTACTTGATGTAACACTTCGTATAATAAAATCCACTTCAACTCACTTAGGTTGACGAACCTAAACGACGCTAACATAAAGCGTGTTCTCCGATAACGAATATAAACTGTACGTTAATTTATCGACTCGTAATTGAAAGACAGATGAAAACAAAAAAAAAAATACGGAAAATAAAGAGAAAAAAGATATGGGAAAACAAGCGATCCATTTTGTTGGTTGCAATCCATTTAAAAATGTCGATTTAATGCACTATTTTATCTTCTTGATTACGAACGAATGAAAAACTTGCATGACTGTATCGAAGAATTTGCGTTCTTGTTCGAGCGTAATAAGTGGAATACGGAACTAATAATAATAATAATTTCACAATTGTTTCGCGTTCGATTATGAAAGATTACCAGGCAAGCATATGAGAGTCTACTATTAAATTGTTTTAAATTTATAACTACGCTATTATTAAGAGATAACACGTGTTTTTATCGTAAGGGACTACTCATTCGTGATAATTGTCGCTGAAGTAATTATCGATAATTGATAATCGTACAATTATTAAACGTAAACTTAATGAAACTAACTAGTAAATTAACAGTGAAAACACGTGTATTGTAACAGGATCATTACAATTGACTTTTCTGCTCTATCGTCAATGATTATCAATTTTGGGACAGACTATTTGTAAGATTATTCTCGCATTTTTAGATTCTGAAAACTCGTCTCGATATGAATATTCTTGTTTCGATGGAGCATGATCGATTCGCTGTAATGTTTCTGAAACTTTTGCTTTCGAGATTATTCATAAAATGTTTACTGCGTACGTTACACTGCTATGATATCAAACTAATTATAAAATATGAATGACAAATGAATTGTTCATTTGCTAAATTGATTAACTCTGACAAAACAAAGAGCAAGAGAAATCGATAAAGTGGTATACATTCTCTTTTATGATTTCTTTTAAAGTTATTCCATCTAATAACATGTAAAATATATAAAATAATCACATTGACCTCTGAAATAAATTCATTATTCCATGGTCAACAAATTTTTATCATTTAATGGTCTCTTAAGTTTGGAATTTTGTTTAATCAAGGAAATTTATTTTAAATATAAAAAGTTAAGTATCAATCAAAACGTTTTGAATTCAGCGAATGCGTTGAAACTTCAGAAAATTGAAGAAGTGAAATTAATCATTTTGACCTAAATGGAACACGCGTCAAAATACCAAATTTGTTGTAGGTATGAAGTTCTAAATTCGCAAATTTTCTGGTGGAACTTCATCGAAGCGATACAAATGAAAAAAAGGAACGTATAATCTGCGTAGTTACGATCTTAAACAGAGAAATATGATACGGTATCAAAAAACGCTCGCAAGAGTACCTAAAAATACCGAGGGAAATATAAAATGTTATAAAATGGTTTTAAATGAAAGAAGCTTCGAACAGAAAGATTCGAATCAGCGATGTATAAATTTTTTAACACATCGAAAACATGTAGAACTGTGGATTTGTTTTACTTACGGGTTTTTAACATAATTCAAATCTCAGATTGTTTCGCGGATTTTTAAGTAATTCTGATTCGAAGACTTTCAAGTAACACTAAACGGAACGCACTTGTACAGCAAATAGATATAGCAAAACACTTGTTTCATTTTAAAAAGCTAGCACTTACAAGATTTTCATTCCAGACAGTTAATACAAGACTATTATATTTCCGAATCCGGCCGAAACAATGATGTCTACGACTAAACGCGTGAATTTTTCGTTTCTCTGATTCTTCATACGAGGAGTGCCCAAATTCGTTTGCAACTTTCATAAATTTTATGTAGCTCAGCTTATTTGAATTTAGAGCTTATCTGTATGTTTTGTATTCTCTGTAATAGAAATTAATAGTAGAAAATGGTTGCAAATGAAACGTTGGTCCTTAACGTTAGTTAAATAGATAGTCAATACTAAACTGACTTTGTAATTGTATATTAGTTTTCTCTTATGTTAATATGTGTGCAGTATATGTATGTATGTATGTGTTTATGTATGATAATTCAAGCACTAAACGGAATTTTATTCTAATCGAAAGAATTCTGATCGTTTATCGGTCAGACATGGTACTGCGTCCTTTCTTTTCTTCATAGTGGAAAATTTATAGTTTGAAATCATATCTCTAACTGAAAGCAATAGAGGAAACGTAGGGTTATTTAATAATATAAGTCTTGAACATTCATCGCAACCGGTTAAAATTTTCTTTTTATGACTGCTTGCTTTCAAATTAAGAAAAAAAAAAGAAAAAATTAAGATCGTTGATACGATTGCTTTCGCACTTTAAATGAAGTAAAATTTTAGCCAGAAATTGAGGCAACCATTTGTAGAATGTAGAGATCTTATTAACCTTTGCATATTATGCTAACAATTAATTGTTAGTTTTTTAAAGGTACGATTAAACAATTGATAATACGTACTACCTGTAATTATTGAAGTTAAAGAGTATTGAGTCATTGATTTAAGCGAGAAAAAAAGAAACGATAAGGTAAATTAAAAATTTATTATTAGCAACTATAAAAGATCGCATTAATATCACGTCTCCTTTAGAGCAAAATCATTTTTAAGTACACCATTGTACATTACATTATATTTAATATAAGAATAAGATCTATTACGTAATAAATTGATAATGATAATTGTATCGATTTTGATATTACTTTCCTATTTCTTATTCATATTTTATTGTTGTCCAAGAGGAGATATGAAGTCTTCATTTCGATGACATATGTACACATTTTATTTTTATTTTAGTTAATTAACATAATTAATTTATCCTATTAACAGTGCAGATTAAACCTAATATGTTAACATTGAATTGTCATTCGTCTGTCCTTGTCGCACGCTATTGCCCTCCTTGTCCATCTCGCGAATATGTCTGTCCTTGTCGCAAGCTGTTGTCCTCTTTGTCTAACGCACGAATAAGTCTGTCCTTGCCGCACGCTGTAGGCTTCCTTGTCTACCGCGTTCATAAGTCTGTCCTTGTTGCACGCTATTGCTTTCCTTGTCTAGCGCATACATAAATCTGTCCTTGTCGCACGCTATTACTCTCCTTGTCTAATAACGCTAGACAAGGAAAGCAATAGTGTGCGACAAGGACATTCTTCGATCTATTGGAAAAAAATTCAATTTTTTACACACACGTTTTTCTAGAACAAAACACACATAGAAAGAAAGCGGGGAGCCTAATTTTAAGGAGGCATATAAAAAAGTTCGCAAATTATTCCTCTTAATAAGGTTTTTTTCATAATTAGTGCGAACTGTCACAAAATGGACATGGTGGCGCCATCTAGCGGCAACTCAGTGGTACTAATAAATTATAAAAAATACTTATTTCTGCATTTTACGGACCAAATGAAGTATGAAAAGAAAGCTAAGGGTCTAATTAGGATAATACGATCACAAAAGTTCACAATTCATTTCGCTAAATTAGGTTTTTTCGCAAATGAAAATTTCTCTATTTCTCTACACTAGCGCCGCGTTGTGGCAGATCGGTGGAACTAAACGCTCTATTACCATATAAGGAAAATAATTAATTTTAATTTTTTAAGCCACAAATTTGCACTCCAGGAGCATATATTTCAATGATAATGTTATCAATTACGTTTGCAAAGAAATCTGAATCTAATATTCACTATAGTTTGCGCGTAATTATGCACTCACTGCTGGTATTACTACTAACGCAAACAAAATTGAAACATTCTTTATATACGTAAACTATACTTAAGCAAAACATCAAACGCAAGCTTAGGGTCCCTAAAATCGAAGGCGAACCATAAATGTTCACAAATGATTTCTCTTAATTAATTTCTTCTCATAATTTGTGGAAAACTTGTCACCTGACAGTTTAGAGGCATTGGTGGCGCCATCTATTGATAACTCGGTGGTACTAAAAGCAGAATTTTCTACTTTTAGTACCACCGAGTTATCAATAGATGGCGC